TTTCGCTGCATGGCACCACAGCAGCTACTGCTGCTGTTTGGTGGTGGCGGCGGCGGCGGTGGTGGTAGTGGTGGTGGTGCTGCTGCTGCTGCTGCTGCTGCTGCTGCTGCTGCTGCTGCTTGTTGCTGCCACAATGGCCACAAGGAATACCTACAATGGTTATGGTGATGGCGAGGACGATAACTGTCTCTCGCTTATCAGCACTTGTAGAAATGAAGCCAGCATGAGAGGACTTCCCCAGCTGAGTACTCGCTGTACTTCAAACAAGGAACCAACCTACTTGGAGGTTCATGGGTAGTTGTAAGTGGGGTTATAAGTCCCCTAATATGGGTTATAACTAATAGTTACCCTACTTATAACCCCACTTATAACTACCCATGAACCTCCAAACCCTAATCCCTAAACCCTAAACCCTAAGTAGGACCCTATTAGGGGACCCATGAACCTCCAAGTGCAAGAAAGTCCCGTCTCTGCAGAGCTGCAGCCCAGGCTCCCCTCCAACAGGGGCCCCGGCCTTCAACCTAAAAGCGAAGAAAAGGGGCCTTACGAATTTAGGGTTTAGGGTTTAGGGTTTAGGGTTTAGGGTTACGAATCACCTCTACTATTTTGGGGGTTCCGTGTTGTAACTGTAGTATAATATAATACCCCAAATCCTATTCTAGTCACTAAGGCCCCTACATTATCCCAAGTTCGAACTTGACCACCTCTTCCACTCATTTACTGCTCGAAGATGTTAGGTGCCTCTGGGGCTCTAACGGTGTAATGTCCAAGCTTAGGGTTAGTTGGTTCAGGGTCTAGGGCTTAGGGTTTCAGGGCCTGCTTGCTAACGGTGCAGGAACAGGGCGGAGGGCAAGCGAAGGTTGTGGCACCTGGTGCTTCTAGCTTGGCGAGTAAAGGGAAGCCGGTCATACTGGTATGAGATGTGACTTCGAAGCTTCAAGCCACATAGCCGCAGCCGGAGACAAACCAACGCCTTTCGCCATTGCTCTTGCTGAAGAGTCCGCTTATTCTCTGAAGATTTGGAAGCTTAGGTCAATGAGAACTGCAGTGTTGCGCGGTTATCACCGCTAGCCTCGACCAGTACCTTCCCGCAACTTGTTTTGTTCCCGCGCCATCTGAGTATGCTTGGCCTTTCTTCCGTGCCTTTGGTCAGTCGCACCTCCCTCCGCCCGTGGCAAGTATCTCATCTGTTCTGGCCTCAGAATTCCGTATAGTGAGCAGTGGAGTCGTGTTCGTTGCGTTTTTTTGCATCGGGCTTGTAGGACTGAGACCCTAAGTTTGGAATCAAGCTTCGATCAGCGCCTTCTGCCCCAACAGCGAGTGAAGAGTCAAATCATCTGCCCCGAAGACCGCCCGCGACCAACTCCAGAACCCACCTGTGTCCCGGCTCTGAAGCTAGAGGCTGCAAGGACAGCAACGAAACACCACAACTGTGCAAGTGCCCAGCCTTTCAATACCCGGCCAGCAAGGTTACAATCCTCAGGTAGGTCTTGGCAACGTTGTTCGGGCCTTGGCGTGCACCGATGCGGTTCTGAAGACTGGAGAATCCGGGATCGTTTTTGTCAGGCATGACATGACAGGCGCATGCCGTCAATTCCAGCAGCTCACTTAAAGAGGACCTGTTAGCTTTTGGCGAAAACCGAAGAGAGGCATAGCACGATGACCCCAACGAACCCCAAGCCCCAAGCCCCTCCACTTGATGTGTCAGCCGATTGCAGATCCTTTTTCTGTGTCACTAGTGGCATCTGTCTGTGCAGCAATCATGTCGGCCGCTACAAATGTAGTTGAAAATCCTAAACCCTAAACCCCACTTGTTCGGGACAGGGGAGAACCCATGAGCTTGAATACTGGAAGTTGCCATCTAGGTACAGCAGTGCTGCTGCCGCATCGAGTGTGTAGCAGAGATTAGGATGTCAGACGCGCCACTCGCAACTCACAGCATCACAAGGCACATGCTATACCACATACAACGCACCAGATAATGCCCGGCGTGCCAAGGGCCACAGAGTTTTCAACCTTAGATTTAGATGGAGCCTTGACGGTGCTTCCTTTCCAGACAAAAGTACAGATACCAAAAGGCCTGAGGAATCGTGACTTCCAGGCCGTCGTGATGGTGTCCGCCCTCAACTTGGCCCGGATAACTGGGCGAACGCTTCTCAGCCTCCACCTCAGGAATTCAGGTTTTCATCAGGTGGTTCGAGATTGCCTAAGGTATGCGGGCAGCATCCTGGCTGAAATGTCATGTCTGTCATTGGTCTGTGCCTACTTGGAGGTTCATGGGTAGTTATAAGTGGGGTTATAAGTCCCTTAATATGGGTTATAACTATAGTTACCCTACTTATAACGCTACTTATAACTACCCATGAACCACGAAGCCTCAGCTTGAACCACATCAAAACCTTCAAAAGCCTTCCTCAAGCATGATCTACTCTGAGTCCTAGACACCCTGCAGCCCACCCCTAGCACCCTAAACCTCACCCGCCAGCAAATCCCAAACCTGAAACACCAAAAAGCCCACAAAACAAGTCCTCCCTAAACCCTAAACCTAAACCCCAAAGAGCTATTGCATTTAAGAAAAAAACCCTAAACCGTAAACCCCATATAAACCCTAAACCCTCAGTTCACTGGAACACCAACGTGGTCTCGCGGCGCGCCTGGGAACTCCTGGACCTTCCTGGCAGGGAGCCCGGCCCGTCGTTTCATCCGGGAGTCTTAGGGCTTTGCGGGTTTAGGGTTTAGGGTTTAGGGTTTTGGGTTTAGGGTGTAGGGTTTCTGCAGATGATTGTAAAAATCTCTTATTGGGATGTATTTTTAATAGTGTTATTATTGTTATTATTCGTATTATCAGTATAATTAGTACTATTCTTATTGCTATATTCATGTTATGATGAGTAAATTGTCACTGGTGTTATTATCATTGGGGTGTATTAAGGTTTGTTCGGGATTGAGACTCTGAAGATCTGGGTGATTGCAAGCCAGGCACCCGCATCCCTGAAGATTTGTTAGCCGTTGAAGCCGGAAATCTTATGTCGACATGCAGATCCTGATCACGCAGCAGAACCCTGAACCCCAAAACCTGGAAGCCCTAAAACACATGCCCGAAATACTAAACATCCTAAACCCCTGAAGCCCCAAACCGTAAAACCCCGAAGCCCCTAAAACCCTAAACATCCTAAACCCCCGAAGCCCCAAACCGTAAAACCGTAAAACCCCCAAGAAGCCCCTAAACCCCCCACCCCCCCGATACACCTGGTAACGCTTTTTCAGCCATGGCAGAGGTGTCAAACTACTTGGCGAGGCTCCAGCCGACCTCCGGAGCGCAGACGCCATCGCCTCAGGTTCTTGTCAAGTGGTTTAGTTTTCAGTTTCCATAATAGGGATCTATGGTAAATATAATATGGTTTCTTTATTATGGTAACTTAAATTGAACCCCTTAACAAGAACCCAGGCTAGGATGGATTGAGTTCAGAGTTTTTTGGGGTTTACACTTTCTAGCTTCGCGTTTCAGGTTTCGGGGTTGAACTGGGAATTGGGGCTTGGGGTTTAGGTTCAGGATGGATTTGCTTTAGGAGGGGCTCAACTTCAGAATATGAGCATGGTGACTCTTCGCGATAGGATTTGAGAGCAGTACTGCTCCGCTGGTGCCCCTGACTACTACTCAGCGGCAGCTCGTAGCCGCGACTAGTTGTGCCTTCTGACTTACCAACCCCTAAACCCCTAAACCCCTAAACCCGTCAACCCTAAACCCCTCTTCCTGCTGTGCTAAGCCCCTTCATACATGCAGGGACAAGGCTGGCACAATGCACATAACATAGGGGCCTAACTAATTACCAATACTATTTTGGGGGCTCGTTATTATAAGTATAGTATGATTTGCCCCAAGACCCTATTCTAATTATTCAGCCGCCTATATTTTTCTTGGCGGGACATTGTCTTCTGCATCCTGGGTGTTGCTCATACAGGAGCCTGTATACTTATGGGAGTTATGGGGGGATGAAGGCTTGCCGCCACATTGGCACTTGTGTAGATATACGCATATATACGTAAGTCGCATATGTGAACATGACCGCATGTAGGCGTGTGCGTATGTGCACGTGTGAGCACAGTGTCCTTTTCAATGCACTGGCACTTCACCCTATCAATGTTTGCAAATACAAGCATGTGTATACACATGCACTTCAACACACAACACGTACCCTGGTACACACATACGTACATACATACATACATACATACATAAATACATGTACATATACATACATACATATTTCTGTATGTACACACGCAAATAAAAAGACATCAAGCTTGCATCCACACATGACACATCATCATTTGCATGCACGCGTGCATTGGTAATTTGTTCTCTGCGCGCGTGTTGCACATTCTGAGCAGAACTTTGCACTGAGCTTGTGAGGCCGTGGGATTGCGTAGTTCGTACAACCGCTGGCAAACCCGTATGGTATTTATACGTGTGGTGACAAGAAGACATAGGTTTTCATGGATTCTGAACTGCCCCTGCTAGGAACAGCCCTTGATGAAAAAACATTCTGAGTCGCTTTGAATCTGCAAGTGCGTACCTGTGGGAAAGCTTGATGAGTCTCGACTGTGTGCATGGCCTTTGAGACTACTCGATTATTGCTGACTTGGAAGCTATCAGAGTTCGCGCGGGATGTCTCGTTGCTAGCTACAGTGGCGACTTGACATCTCTCCCCGTCTCAACCCTGCCTAGTTGGGCACACTGCGAAGTGGTTTGTCTGAAATTAATTAGGGGCCTTAAGAACTAGAATAAGGCTTCGGGGTACATTTTATAGTGATAGAAAGGAACCCATCCAAAATCCTGTTCTAGTTATTAAGGCCCCTACGACACAAGCTCCGCAATACCGCAGAAGTCCAGGAACCCGCAAGGCTCGTCCTAAGCCCTCGAAGCGCTCTCGTCTCGCTAAGGTCAGGGGCCTTTACCTTTTCCATATGATGGACAGCGGTATGCTGGTTCGATCCTGAGGTGTTAGGGTTTAGGGTTTAGGGTTCCGTGAGCTGGACGGAAACAGCGGTTTGGGGTTTAGGGGAGCACTGCTCGTTCAACTTACCGGCTTGAGGGCTTGAGGTTGGGATGTGGGAAATCCCACTGTGAAGTGTGAGACATCAGGGGCCACTCGTACTGAGAGAGCAAGAGCTTCATGTCGAGAGTTCGCTTCATACGATACAAGACCCTTGTCCGTCCTCTGCTGACTGCCCATGCTTCGAACGAACATGTAGCGCAGTGTAAAACCAAAGATCGCCAGCTTTGCAAGCAACGCCGCACTTGTGCTGCACGAGGCCAGCGTGCTGGAGCTGTTAGGCATCAGCCTCAGAACGTTCGAAGTTGATTCTGTGCTGATTCATCGTTCCATCAGCAGAGGGGAAGGGACATGTCTTTACACCATAACATTTGACGCCCAAACTGGGTTCATCCTCTGCTTGAATTCAGAGTTTAAGCCTGGGCACCTTCGTGACCACAGTCTCTAAACTCCAAACCCTGCTGCACCACCTCACAGGCCTGGTAATAGTAGGGGTTGTAATTATAGTTACCCTACTTATAATTATAGTTACCCTACTTATAACTACCCATGAACCTCCAAATATGACCCTTATAGGACCCCCTTCTAGATCCCTTCAGGGAGCCTTATAACTACTTACAACCCTTAAAGGAACCCTATGACCCATGAACCCTAAACAAACCCTACAGAACCCTTAAAAGAACCCATAATGGGGGACTTATAACCCATAATAGGGGACTTATAACCCACATTAGGGGACTTATAACCAATATAGTTACCCTACTTATAACCCCATTTATAACTACCCATGAACCTCCAAGCTCTCGAGGCTGCTCCGACCTGTCGACGTCTTTGAGCCAGCCGAGGTCAGAGAGATGTTGTGCTTGGGGTTAGAGGGTTTAGGGTTTAGGGTTTAGGTTGGAGTCTCCGCAATTCGGGCGCCTGGGTTGTGCACGCTTGGGAGGGCTTCGAGGGCTCTTGGAGGTTTCTTCTTGCTGTTCCTTCGAGTTGCACCTTCCTCATCCTTGCGAGCCTCCCGAAGCCCAAGTCCTCCCAATCAACCCCTGCCCGGCCTGCCCACAGAACGCAAAGGGCCCATGAGGACAGTAGCCGCAGCAATCCTTGCCCCACCACTACAGCTGCGCAGACGTAATGGCCAAATCCCCCTCCCCAAGCCGAGCAGCCGTTCGCCAGGATACTCACCTTGTCCTCCAACATGTGCCCAGCCTCTGCCTCCTCACATCGCAGATCTTCAGCATTTTGATTTCGGTATTGGGCCTAGGCCCAGGCCTCCAAAATCTGGACATCAAGTCTTGGAATTTCCTTATGCTCTTCGGGAGTAGGAATGATAATGGTATCGGATGAGCTTCATCCAGAAAGGCTGAATGGCAATGATCACCTTCATGTGCAATGTCACTTCATAGTCATAGTCCTTGTAGCATCCGTAGCGGAGGTGATGATAGCAGGGGCAGAGTTGTATGCCCCCTGCAGGGAGCTGCCGATTTGGATCCGTGGCAGCAGTAGCACTACGGCACAGTTACTTTAGATACGTAGTCCTACTCAGCCTCCTCCTCCTCCTCCTCCTACTCCTCCTGCTCCTCCCCGTCGTGCGCGTCACCTTCGCCAGTCTAGTTTGCTCAGCAAAGCCACGATTGTTGGTCACTAGCATGGGCAGCAGCAGCAGCAGCAGCAGCAGCATGGCTAGTAGTCGCAGTCGTAGTTGTCGTAGTAGAAGGCGTAGTGGTAGTAGTAGTAGTAGTAGTAGTAGTAGTAGTAGCAGGATAGTAGTAGCAGGATAGTAGTAGCAGTCGTCGTCGTCCTCCTCGTCGTAGGAGTGGTGTGTCGTGGCCGTGGTTGTGGTGGAGGTGGTGATGAGGAGGCGGACGAGGACACAGGGGCCGATGAAGATGCGGCGAAGGTGGAGTGACGGTGATGATGCTACTGCTTCTGGCGACACTGATGATTTCGATAGTGGTGATATTTCTAGTGATGAAGCTGATGCCGGCAATAGTGGGGACGGTGTTACTGTTAAAAGCCGTGATGGTGCTTGCGGTGGTGATGATGATGAGGGAGTCCAATTTACACTGCTGGCTCGAAGATTTCAATGTGCATGTGGTGCTTGCCACTCCGTTCCTGCAGGTACTTCACGCCAATTCTCCAAACCAACCCGCACATGCATCTCGCGTTGAATTCAAAAGAGTTTCAGTTCGTCCGCTCGTTGCAAGTTCAGGATCTAAGGGTGAGCTTGTGAGGGGATAGGATCAGACTTCCATGTTTGTTGGCACAGGGGAGCATTGAGGGAATGACGGCTACTCAGTCATGCTATCATCAAAGCAAAGACCTAGTCGTGGCAAAGACCAAACGGAAATCTCCTGTAAATGGCTTTCATGCCCAGGGACACTTCCTATCCTGGCGTCATGCTTGTAAAGGATTTAAGCCGAGGGTCTTGTAGTTGAGGTTCAGACCGGTATCCCAAATCGGAAGTGCATCGAGCTCAGGAAATCCGGCTACGACATTGTTCCCTTCTGGCAGGCAGATTCGTTTCTGCACTCTGCTGCGACTACGGATCGTACAAGTACAGTGACCGTCCATGCGATGCTGGTTGAGTTCAGCCTTGGTTGATCTGTGTGCTGTACTTTGGTGGGTGCCATCGTCATTGAGAATCCTAGCACTGACTGCTGCTGCTGCGCCTCCTCCTCCTGCTGCTGTTCCTACTACAGAACTACTAACATCTCCTGCTTCCGTCCAGGGGCTTCAGCTCATGATGGCACCCAGCTCAAAAGCGCAAAAGCGGGCTTTGAGCTATGCCAACAAGTCCGGCTCTCAGGAGACTCCTATGTCTGCAGCTCAAGTTTCGAACGCTGCTGTAAAAAGGGCATCCGGAAGATAGAATCGGGTCGATGGCTCGAAACCTAGGGGTGCTGGGCATGTAGGGCATCGAGGCCTGTCGCGACATAGATATTGAAGCAATCGTGGGGAGGGGGGCGGGGGATTCAAAAGGAAACATTCGTGCTCTTCCAAAAAGTCGGCTGCTGCAAGACCTTGCAAACGCTTTCGCATCCCCATATTCTCATGATACTCGTTCAATTTCGGAGATTGTGTTGGGTTTACATCCAAGTAGGAATTTTATGGTTATGGCTATGGCTTGCATGCGGCGTTGGCGCGGAGATAGATGGAATGTGTCGTTTGGCTCGTGCTGAAATGTTGGTTTGAAGCCGTGGTCGCGTTTCGCCAGGTGCACCACGAAAATGCTGCAGTCTGAAGTACTTTTACTGTAAACCCATGCCTGGATGTTGGCATATTGAGAGTTTGCCAAGTATAATGATTGCCATTACTATTTTTGCTTCTAGTAGTATTATTGCCATCACTTTTGTTATAATTATGATTTCGGTATTACTAATTACTGTAGTGTTATTGACCCAGTGGCGGATCGACACCATGACAAGACTTCTGGCCTGTCCGTTTGAACCCGACACGCCTGCCACTTGCAGAACAATTGCAGCCTCAAGTCTATGTTCGGAGCCCGAAGTGCATATATATATATATATGTATATGTATATACATATATATATATATGTGTGTGTGTATGTGTATAAATGTATATGTTTACTTGTTTATTCATTATGCAATTATTTGTGTTTGTGTTTATGTTCATATTTGCATTATAGTGTATTTAGATTTGCACTTATAGGTGTGCCGTACTTATATGTTAATCGTATGCTTCGCTCTGTATATATCTGTATGTATGCATCTATTTGTCTATTTATTTATTTATTTAGGTGTTTGTTTATACGCATATTCTAGTAAGATTCTTATAGTAAGATAGAACTGATACATGGTTGATGTGTATATTTTTATATTGCATGTACATATGTGCACATTTCGAACTTCCGCATACATGTAGTGTAGGTCACGAACGCCTAGAGGGTTGTTTTATAACAAAAAACCTTGCAAAGAGGGTTATAAAAAACCCTTTTTTAAACAGTAAGCCCTAAACCTCTTCACCCCTAAACCTAAACCCCTAAACCCCTAAAATCGAAACCCTAGAGCACCCTCTCTGCTCAAGGACCTCTTGGGGGCAAACAGCTCCGGTCGTCGCCGTCCACATCCGCAGTCGGGAAGCCGGCGAGGACAGAAAAAGTCCACTAAAGCCAGCGTCTAAGGGTCATTGGGGTTTAGGGGTTTAGGTTTTAGGGTATTGGGGGGTTTAGGGGTTTAGGGTTTAGGGTATTGAGGGGTTTAGGGGTTTAGGGTTTAGGGTCTTGGGGGTTTAGGGGTTAGCGGAGTCTCTGAGTGGAGCACAGGCGTAGTACGTTGGCCCACAAGCCATTGATTCCTCTTTTTCGTGGTGGAGAAGTCCAGTGAAACAGCAGAACCCCTCGTTGCAAGTACCAGGCCCGAATAGGATTTTACCCTAACGAATTATCGCAGTCTAACAAGTATATATATATATATGTATGTACGTACGTGCGTATGTGCGTATGTGCGTATGTATGTATGTATGTATGTATGTATGTATGTATGTATCTATGTAGGTACGTAGGTACGTAGGTACGTAGGTACGTAGGTATGTGTGTGTGTATATATATATATGTGCTGTAAGCTTGTTAGCACATGAGCATGAATGAAGGTAGTCCAACCACTTGGGCCTCTGGGTCCATCGCGAACTGCTTACTTGAGTTTGTTGGGGAGAGTGCTGGCCTTGTTGATATTCGTAACTCTGAAGCTGCTTCAATCTTGAGTGTAGCCTCACCTGCACCTCTTCTCCGGCTGGTAGTCAGAGGTTTGGCATATGTTAGGTTCTCGTCTCGGGGTCTTGATTGCAGTTTATATTCTGCACATCAGGGCCCAAAGCTAATTATTCAAGCATTCCGCTCTTCCCCTAAGCGTTAGCTTGAAGCATGAACCAGGCAACATGCTATCTTCAACGAAGCCTATCCGAGAGTACATCACCTCAAGCAACTCGCGGCTGCCTAGTGAGGACAACGACGACTGGCCAACGGAGGAGACGCCTCCGCAGGCCCATATCCTCTGTGAACCGAAGAGGTCAGGGATGTTCAAGGTTTCGGTCTGAAAGGAGTTGTTTCAGGAAGGTTCGCAGGAGTGTAAGCTTTACCTTACTTGGACATCCTTCAGGATACTTGAAGGGCAACAGAGGTTCACAAAGCGTAAGCCTCTGTGTTGCATCCGATCTTACACACAGAGCCGGCGCGAGCACCTGTTGCGGAAATGGTTTCAAGACGATCGGCCCGTTCCCTTCATTCCTGCTTGGCTGGGTTGACAGCTCATCCCCCGTGCCTTCCTTCACGGCTTAGGTGTTCGGGTTTGAGTTTGAGGTTTAATATAAGGGCTTAAACTAAAAACCTATACTATTTTGGGGGGTTCCTTATTATAGTTATAGTATAATGGGCCCCAAAACCCTGTTCCAATTATTAAGGCTCCTAGATTAGCCTCCGCCAGGACTTGCTAGCAAGTCTGACGAAGTGCATCGAGCAGGCCCGGCATCCGCCCCAGGTCCCAAGTGTAATTTGGACTTTACGGTTTGAGCCTCGGGTCTGGCAATAAGTAATAAAGGGGCCGAAAAAGTTACCTATACCATTATGGGGGGGGGTTCTTTATGGTAATTTTAGTATAATGGACGCCCAAAACCCATTCTAATTATTAAGGCCCCTACATTCAGCTACAGGACAGGTTGCACTTGGTGGCCATTGGAGGCCAAAGGCCGCTAATACAGGGGCCTTAATAATTAGAACAGGTTTTTTGGCGGTTCCTTATCATAAATATAGGTTAATATGCCCCTAAACCCTATTTTTGGCGGTTCCTTATCATAAAGATAGCATAATATGCCCCTAAACCTTATTCTAATTATTAAGGCCCTGACAGTATTCCTCAAAGCATGCCAATGCAAGTGACCCGAACAACCCCCTAAACTCTGCGTCACGCCCGCAGGCGGTGCAGCTGGAGTTCGGAGATGTGAAGGGCTGGGATGTATACCTGGCCGCGACAACAGAGAAGGCCTTACCTGGGAGTAGCCTTGCCTCCGATGGTTCGCACTGTGGCCCGGCACAGGGGGTTTTCGACCGCTCCATGTCGAAGTCTTCCACGGTTCGACGAGAGTGCCCTCCCATCACAGAGACCACAAAAGGTCCCGTCCTCCTCGCCAGCCTCACCTCTTCGCGGCATGTTAAGAATGTGACGTGATCATGAAGTCACTTCATTCGCTGTGCCCGATGCTAGATGCTAATCCCCCTCCCCGTCCTCACTCCCAAGAACAGTTTCGTGCAATTCAAGCCAAGCTCAGCTGCAGGCACGAAAAGTGGCAGCTGACCATTTGAAGCAGAGCGCCACCAACCTCAGAAGGCTTGGCATGGGGCTTCGGGCTTTGGGGCGCGCATCTCAAAGAAGAAACAGAGTACTTGGAGGTTCATGGGTAGTCATAAGTGGGGTTATAAGTCCCCTAACAGGGGTTATAATTAAAGTTACCCTACTTATAACCCTACTTAAGTAACTACCCATGAACCTCCAAGTAGGACCAACAGACTCCATCGGTCCCGAGTTCCCCCTTTCCTCAGACTCGCCTTGGGGAGTCTCCTCCATTCACCGTGTAGCGTAGGCGTAGTCCAAGCAATCATAGCAGGGTGTGGGGAATACTGTGCTGTTGTCCACAGCTTCCTCTTTGCGTATATATATATATATGTATGTATATACACATATACATATGCATATACATATACATATACTTATACTTATATACACATATATCATATATATACACACATATACATATACATATACATATAAATATACATATACATATATATACATACATACATACATACATACATACATGCATACCTGCATACCTACATACATACATACATACATACATACATACACATACACATACACATACACATACACATACACATACACATACACATACACATACACATACATACAAATATCTATATATATATACATATGTAAATGTATATATATATATATGTATATCTCTGTAGATATGCCTCCTAGACAAGGGTCATCAAGGAACACTACAGATCAATGAGGCGCCCGTATCAATCCGAAGCCCTCTCGACATTGAGAAGTCCGACTTTGAAAGGATCGGCCTTTCACCATCCAAGCGCTTTGTCAAGATCTGCCAGATTCCCCAATCTAGTGTCCCTGTAAGTATATTGTCTTTTTTTTATCACAGCTAGATTCAAGCTCTTATTATTGTTCTGGTCGGAGAGCCTCTAGGGGGAGCTCCTTCAGTCCGAACCGTCATCCGTCGTACCAGCACCGTCGAAATTCGAAGTACGGTACCCTCTATCTGCAGGTCCTTTCCAGCCTTTCAAAACTCGAAACCTTCCGTTCCAGAATCATGGTAGTTAGGGTTCAGGGTGTCGGAACCCTTATGCAGCGCAGCCCTTATAGCACTCTCAAGAATCCATATGGCGCCGTAGCAGTTTTCAGCACGCAGGGTGCTCTCTCTCCCGAAGATCGAGCGCAACCGCCGCACCGGTGCTGGAGCCGTGGACGCCATGGCTGAGGCCTTTTTCTCTATAAGCATTACTTCATGGTTACTATCGCGGTACTGTACCGCTTCTGATAAGGATTCAAAGCTTCTTCAGGTATGCGTAGCTGGGTTCCTCTGCAGGCAAACTGAAGCACAGAAGCAGTAGCATCAACGACTAAAACACCGGCCAACAAGTACGACTGTGACGGCGAAAACGATTACGATTCTCCTCCAGCTGCTGCTGCTGCTACTTACGACAACGACGACGACAAGTCATCTCACCACCACCTCCTCCTCCTCCGCTAGCACGCTAGCAGACAGTGGTTCCAGAGTAGCGACAGCAACATCAACCAGCGGCGCTGCAGCAACAACAAGAACAATAAGTTGAAGAGTAGTATCGTCAACAAGCAGCAACAATTATCATGGGCATCATCGTGATCGGCGCCCTCATCGTAGCGTCACGTGCCAATGCACATCACCGTTGTTTCGCAATCTTCTTTGTCCAGGCCGAGAGACCGAGCAGCAGAAATGTAGCCTCAACCACTCCTCTGACACATCGACGGCTTGGTTGTCGTAATCCTTGAGATGAACGAAGCGTTGGCACCGGAGTGCTGCACGGATGAATCTCCGGCAGGCGCTGCTCATATCTCGTGCTGATATTTTCATCAGGTTCGTGGCCATGACCCCAGCAGGGCTGCTGGTGTGCTGCAAGAAGGTAAGCCAAGCGTCTGTTTTCCAAAAGCCTTAATCCTGGGCGGTCCCGTTAAGAACCGACAACTACACAAAGACGATGTAGGTGACTTTTTGTTATGCGCTCCTGCAAGCCGGTGAGAGTTCTTAGTCTGATCGGCCTAGACAAGGCTCTGGCAAACTGCTCCTGCGGTTTCAGAGGTTTACAAGGAGTTTGTAGGCTTTTGGGGTGTGCGCGGTCTACAAAGGCTACAGGGCTGCAGTGGAGTTCGGAGCCTTCTAGGATGTGTATGGCCAGGAGGACAATATATGGATCACAAGTGAAGACCGGATGAAGTTGGGATGCACTCAAGCTGGCCGGTACTCAGCGAAAAACATCCCAAACACTATACCTTAGGGGCGCTTAGAAATATTTTTTAATCTTTGGCTACTATACACCCTAAGAAGTAGCTAAAATTTTAATTTTTGCTAGGGGTCTAAGTTCAGTATAGATACCCTGAACCCTGAAAGCCAGTTGGCAGCAATCCCCTCGCCTGACAGTGCCTGCGCCATCATGGCATTCTGATGTGAGAAGCCCTAAACACAGCCAATCCCCACTAAACCCTAGACCATACTAAACCCTACCAAACTCTAAACCCTAAACCCCAAGACCCACTAATTTCCTTACTAAACCCTACTAAACCCCAAGACTAGTTTCCTTGAAGCTTCCAAGTGGATCCAGGTGGGTACCACGGGCTTCAGCCTTGTTCTCAGTCTGCCGCCCTGAACGCCAAACCCGTGAGGCACTTTGAGGTACAATATGAGCTAAGCAACCCCTAACCTGCAGGTACCTACTATATAGGGTACTAGAGCTCCTGGGGCCCTATATAGTAGGTACCTAGAGGGTTAGGGAATTATGACGATTATTGTCACCCATTATCCGTACGATCATAATCACCGTGACTACTACGAAGGGTATTCCCATTGTTTCTACTCTCGTTATCATGACTACTCTTGCGATTAGACTGCGCTGAAAGGCCACACCTTTGCGCGTAAGAGGTTAGGGCCCAATACTGTTCTGGAGTTCATGGTCATCCTGAGGGAGACGGCGCCAGCATCACTTCGAATACATATTACATGTGTATATGTATATATACGCACAAAATACATACCTATCTAACGCACATAACACAAAAACCTTTATAGTTTCAGAAAGGAACGCTCCAGAATTTACACATATTATGCACGTAATGGCATAGTATGTCTACATCTATATATCTATACACGCACACACTGACACACACTTACAAAAGTATTATACCAAACAACCATAGTTGCTGTTATTGTTCTTCTTGTCAGCATCGTTTGATACTAGACTCCCTGCTACTGGTGCTAATATCGACTCCTCAGAAGATTCGTCACATTCCGAACATTCCCTCGGGCCTTCTCAGAGTTCCATCCTGGATGTCTGTCCCTCCTGTGTATTTGCAAGGAGCATTTCACGCTTGACTTGGGCACCCTCTTTGGGCCCATCTCCATAGCCATCGAAGATCCTCTGACGATAGCTTCAGCCGCGGCATTACACAGAGCGCCCTTGCCTCGTAGCATTTGTCGTCACTTTTGCCCTGTACGGCGCAAGCGCGAAAAGCGAGGCACCTTTGCCTACATGGCCAATGCACTGCGGCCACGACCTCAGCTGAAGCTGCATCTCAGTATTACCTTAAGGTTATCCCGCTAGCATGAGACTACTGCATGCATATGACCCAGCCGTTTTGGTGTCATTGCACGGACCCTTGACCCATCGCCGCAGCGGTAGAAGTAGCAGTAGCATCAGCAGCAGTAGTTGTAGCATTAGCAGTGGCAGTTGCTGTTGCAGTAGCAGTAGTAGTAGTAGCAGCAGCCTCAGGAGGAGTAGTAGTAGTAGTAGTAGTTGTTGTTGTTGTTGTAGCAGTAGTCGTAGTAGTCGTAGTAGTAGTAGTAGTAGTAGTAGTAGTAGTAGTAGTAGTAGCGGTAGCAGCAGCAGCAGCAGATAGCAGCAGTAGCAGTAGCAGCAGCAGCAGCAGCAGCAGCAGCAGCAGCAGCAGCAGCACTAGAAGTAGCAGTAGCCGTAGCCGTAGCAGTAGCAGTAGTAGCAGTCGTAGTAGTAGTAGTAGTAGTAGTAGTAGTAGTAGTAGTAGTCGGAGAGGTAGGAGAAGGAGTCGTTGCAGTAGTAGTTGCAGTCGTAGTTGCAGTAGTAGTTGCAGTAATAGTTGCAGTAGTAGTAGTAGTAGTAGTAGTAGTAGTCGTCGTCGTCGTACTGGTACTAGTACTAGTACTAGTGGTACTAGTACTAGTACTAGTACTAGGGGAGCTGCTGATGTGGCCATTCAACAGCTTTGGAGGACATCCCCATCAATCGTTGAACGACAAGAAAACAACAGGTTCCAGAGCGACTGGGCTGCAGCGTTGCCGCCCCTGCGTCGTCAGGGCGTCCTTGCCTGAGTGGAACTTCAATTAGACTTCAGGAAGGCCTTGCGCATTCTAATGTAGGGGTAGAATAGGGTTTTGGGGGTGCCCTAGTATAATATATACCCCAAACCCTATTCTAATTATCAAGGCTTTACATTATCCGAGCTCTGATATTGGACTGAGCCGATGTCGCGCCGTCACGCCAGTTCCCAAGGATGAATCCCCCGCCGATTGCCCGAGATTATTCTTGGAGCTTCTGGGCGGTCATGAGAATCTAGCCGGAATAGTTAATTACATATTGTTCCTGAAGATTCCTGATTCCAGTTAAAATACCCCCAAACTTAACTCTAGACTTTAAGGCCCCTGCATTGCAGCAGAAAAAGGTAATACTCAGTTGTTCGAGCCACCGCTTCTCAGTACGCGCCAAACTACGTGGTGACTGCAGAGTGCGGTCCGGACCACCGTGCTCTCCTTGGTTTGCCCCGTGGTTCGGTTGAGAAGTTCAAGTTTACGATTCGTGAGCCTCAAGATCACTATAGGGTTTAGGGCTTAGGGCTTGGAGTCCTAAGTAGTTGTCGTCCTTTACCTGGCTGGTACTTGCAGTTGTTGACTCGGCGGGGGCATTCTAAGGCTAGTTTAGTCCGCAGGATGACGATCCACGGCTGCTGACTCTGTCCTTTGCCTTTGCTCGCAAACTGCAGATTTAAGGAAACAACAGCTTGAGACTAGAAGGTTGTGGTGACAATGTCGTTTTTACTAACTACAGCACGAGCCTTGGGTGCTGAAGAGGACTGCAGCCCGTGTCCTGTTGAGTCATTACTTGGCTCGACTCCATAGCCAGCCTGTTGCCGATGAACGATACGCGAAGTGCTGGCATACACAAAGCCGTCAACAAGGGTTCCAACCAAGCAGAAAGCACCTGAGTTCCCTGGGAAGCCGACTGTGGACGCACGGCACCCGCACAGAGCTGTAGCAACCAACACAGGAAGACTTTGGAAAACCCACATCAGTGGCCGATGCTGTCAAGGTGGAAACTGACTCGTCGAAGTCCTAAACCCTGACCCTGACTGAGGTTGCTTCGAAGCTCCGCCGGAGGCCGGCACAGTTTGACAATGCAAATGGACCAGATATATCGGAAACCGCCCATGTGAGTCTGTGCTTTTCTTAACCATGTCTCGAGCCCTAGACAGTTGGTCGTTCAGTCCCTTCGGAAGCTCATTCTTCCCCAGGTAGTCTTAGCTATCTGAGCTTCGATTAAATAGAGGGCCCCAGCGCCACCGGTGTCGCAGCACTCAGAATCCAGGCCCGAGACCTACCCACCTGTAATATTAGGTCTGTGGCATTGCCTTCAAACATAGACGCCTGAATACTTGCTGATACTCTTGCTGCGGTTCCCGCAATAACAAGTTTCATATAACCCCAAAAGAAACCCCAGTCTGATCATCAAGGCTCCGATATTAGCTTGTTTGCATGCGCTCGTCCGAGGTTCGAATGGCCGATGTCTCCTGGCACGGAAAGTACGTCACCGGAAGATCGTTTCGTCCTCAGACAGGTTTTGGGTTTAGGGTTGAGGGAAGCTCGCCGGCACAATTGCAACTTGAAGCATGCCTCAGCAGGCCAAGAAAGACCCTCTTTGAATCTTTCTTGCCATCAGACTCTTGATCTTTCCTTGCAAAGGAACCGTCACAGGAACTGACTATGAACCTCGGAATCCCGAACTGCAAGTAGGATAAGCTCTGAAACTTTTGCGTGAAGGGCACGAGAGCTTGCGTCGCATGTCATGCATGAGCTTCCTGGTTCGTGTCCACTGTAGTAGCCTTCACCACCTTTGGTAGCCCTTATATCACCCTTCTTTACGAAACCCTCATATAGCCCTATTTCAGGTTATATATGGCTCCAGGGTCCAAGGTTCACCCCAAACGGTTTAGGGTTTAGGATTTTGGTTTTAGGGTTCAGGGGTTTAGGGGTGTTGAGGCTTTCTTTCAGCGGGGTCACTTTGTTCTGAGTGGGAAGAGTGAAGAATGAACGGGAAGGCAATAGGGCGGTGGCCGTGTCTCATAAAAAAACACCCAGCCGCTCTTAGCGTTTGTGGGCTTTCATCGTTTTTCAGACCGAGATCCAACTCTAGGAGTGGCAGAAGACAGGCGGGTGCTGCAGCCTGTAAGACCTTGCAAAGTCAGCTCGGAAAATTAGCGCTTCCAAGGAACACACACACACACACACCACAGCCCAGCTGAGTTCAGAAGCTTGGAAGACTTGAACATGCTACCTGCGCCAGACAATCCAGAAAAACGAAGTGCTTGAAGACAAAGTGAATTCTTAATCCTAATATTCACAACTACAGACTATGTGCCAGTTTTTACCTTACAATATCACGTCGATCCTCCGATATCGTCTGGGCTTGTCATAAACTCGAATCCTGCGACCCTGAGCACCTGCACTGAAATCCGCAAGCTTGGTCATTGGTTGACCACCAGCCTCAAATCAGCTCCTATGCTGCATGAGCGCTTGCACCGAAGATGTGCGCTTTGGTGACTACAATTCCAAGCTAAGCCCGGAAGCCTACACTGCAGGTGTGGGGACGTGGTCGCGAGATTGCAGCAGAAACTCGGTTGCGCAGCATTGAAACCCCCGCGGTCCAGCGACGAAGAGGAGGCCCTAAGCACCATGCACGGCTTGTGGCTAGGGCTAGAGTGCAGGTTCTAATTGAAGTTGCTCTTGCAACAATGAGCTTTCACGTCTGCAGGATCCTTTATGAGCAGGTGTTTAGAGCTACGCCTTGAGGTTTTAAGTGTCTGAAAGCCTTTGCTGGGTGATGCGGCATTCGGCTCCAGCAAAAAAAATCCTTGCATTGTGAAAGAGTTGTTGTGGGTTTGTTTAAGAACACTGGAGTTTGCAGCTTTTGGATGCTGGTCAGCTAAGGCTTTCGTGATGTAGGATATGCAGACATGGCAGCTTCCAGCATTAATCGAGCCCTTCACGTAGATGAAACTTCCCAATATAATATACATCATATAACCTAAACAGAATAGGCTTTCTGCTGAACGAATTCGACCCCACCCGTGTGCCTGGAGCACTCAGTCGCACTGCGCCTCGCCATAAACTACGACCTCAACCTCGAAAATCTAGTGCAGAGAGACGTCGCTACAAATTGAAGCCGTTGAATGTCACAGACTCAGACTCCTAACCCCAAAGGTGCACTACTCCGCTACGTAGGGTTCGCAGGCGGTGTGCCCAAGAGTTCGTGCTCCCTTCCCGGCCTCCCTCATCCTCGAAGCCTAGGAAACCACCCCCAGGAGCCGAGGTATAGTGTAAGCTACCCGCAAAACCCGATTTCAGTTATGAAGGCCTCTACATCCGGCATGTTTTCGGAATGCCAACAGATGATCCCAACTGCAACTAGGCTCCGGACTTAAGGCTTGAAGGTTCCCTAAACCCTATAAACCCTGAACCCTAAACCCTAAACCCTAAACCCTATACCCTAAACCCTAAACCCTAAACCCTAAACCCTAACCCCTAAACCCTAAACCGTAACGGATCCCATATCTACTTTGCATCTTAGTAAAAGCACTGTTCCGGGTCGAAGGGCTCGAGGCATCGAACCTGGGGATCTCGGCCCTCATGTAATGTAGAGGCCTTAATGATCAGAATAGACGGTTAGGGTTTAGGGTTTACGGTTTAGGGTTTAGGGTTTAGGGTTATAGGGCTTTGGGGTATTTTATACTATAGTTATTATAGTCAGGAACCCCCCCCCAAATAGTGTAGGTAATTCGTAATTAAGGCCCGTAGATGAACTCCAGACTAGAAGCCCCGAGTCAAAGCAGCCGCTTGCAGGAGCTCTAAGACCACCACTCTCCACTTCTGATGCTTCGCTGCGAGTGTCACACGAGTCTTGGTCCTCCAATGTACGTGAAGGTCCCGCCTGTCTTGGACGCCAGTGAAGGCGTCGCAGGATTGCGCTGAAAGTGCTCCCAACATGGCTAGACAAGGAGAATGCTCGATGGATGAGCCAGCTGCACAAAGTTGCACCTGGCCCACAGGGACGTCGGGCTTGGCCAGTCATGGATTATGTATCCCTGCTGGCTTCATGCTAAGACACCTGGCAGGGGGATTCCTCAGAGGCAGCGTGAATGCCCCCCCGGCCCCTCACTGTCATACATAATCATACATCCACCCGCAGTATCCCTGAATACGGGCATCCAGGCATGCAAAACGGCTCATATTCTGTTCTTTAGCCAGCTTTCCTGACCCCTTGAAAGGTGCATGAAGCAGCTTTGTTTTGGCTCTCAGACGCCCGTGTTCTTTATACTCACTTTAACAGCTTCGCAATGCCGGCCAAGCTCAGCATCAACGATGTGGATGTCGCTGGAAAGCGGGTCTTCATGAGGGTGGACTTCAACGTGCCACAGGACTAAACCGCATCGCCACCAGACGAGCATTCAACTCAGCATGGCTATTGTTACTCCATGTTGTTCCTGTAGCTACTGGCGTACCACCACACTAGCACACCCAACATAGCCCTTCCGAAAACGCTTCGCGAGTCCCCTTGACCAGACTACCAGCGATCTGTGCTGTGTTTCTCTTTGGTGCCTATGCGAGGGATGGGCTTGTTGTAGACTTTTCGAGTCTTGTACTTGGAGGTTCATGGGTAGTTATAAGTGGGGTTATAAGTCCCTAATATGGGATATAATTATAGTTACCCTACTTATAACCCTACTTATAACTACCCATGAACCTCCAAGTAGACAACACTGGGGATTGAAGGGTTCGAGCGCAGTCAAGCCAACAGGACAAGGCCGACCCCACGAAGATCACCAACACACAGCGCATTGACGGGGCCCTGCCTACCATCAAGAAGGCCCGCGGACACAGGGCCGATGGACGCGATCGTCGAAGGTTTCGGCTTTAGGTGTAATATAGGGGCCTAAATAATTAGCCGTACTAGTTTTAATTGCAGTATAATATACCCCAAAACCTTATTCCAATGATTAAGGCCCCTGTACTACGTGCATCTCTGTTTTGCCTGCTCGATGGGCTCGACGCGGCATATTGATTTAAACTGTTATGAGCTTCTTTCCTCTTGTCTCCAGGCTCAGCAATTGAAATCCGAGATCGCTTATGTGCATGTATGTATGTATGTATGTATGTATGTATGTATGTATGTATGTATGTATGTATCTATGTATGTATTTATGCGTGTATGTATGTATGTATGTATCTATGTATGTATTTATGCGTGTGTGTACGTATGTATGTACGTATGTATGTATGTATGTATGTATGTATGTATGTATGTATGCATGTACGTATGTACGTATGTATATATGTATATACACACGTACATCTACTTTGCTATTATGGTATGGTAAAGTATAATATCGTAAAGTATCGTAGAGCAAAGTTTTCCTGCAACAGTTCCGACAAGCCAAGCAAGCCTTCGGCCACCTCGAAGCTTCTCCCCTAAACCCTAAACCCCCAATTAAACCCTAAACCCTAAACCCTAGACCCTAAAGCCTAAAACCTTAAACCCTAAACCCTAAACCCTGAAGAGGTGTTGGAGAAGGGCGCCAAGTCCGTCGTCCTTGCTTCCCACCTTGGCCGCCCCGATGGCTCCGCAGGAGCCTCAGGTCTTGGAAGGTGTTAGGGTTTAGGGGTTAGGGTTTAGGGTTTAAGGTTTAGGGTTTCGGGTTTAATATTTGGGGTTTAAGGTTTAGGGTTTAGGGTTTAGCTTTTGGGGAGTACACGCCTCGGTCGTGGAGGACCATGGGCGGTGGCAGGGCTGCCATGCTGGGGATGATGGTCGTGATTGCCTTGATGATCTCGGTGGTGATGACGCCTGCAGCAGTCCTGCAACCCAACCTCCGCGAGTCTCCTTCCCAGGTCGTTTCGAAGTACTCACTGGCCCCAGTGGCCAAGATCCTGGAGGAGAAGCTGGGCAAGCCAGTCTAGCACCCAGGACTGTTTGCATGTTTGCATGAAGGCATTGTTGCTTGCTCAGTTGATTTGCTTTTGGTGCGGGGTTCCTTGGCATGCGATTTCCGGGCGGAGAGTTTCGTGTCTCACGAATTCTTGGAGTGGCACTTGGAACCGACATCGTGCAGACTGTTGATACGGTAATATCGACCGTCTCTTGAACGTGATCAGTGCTGGCTTGCCGTCGTATACACATACTACACCTACGCAGTCACACACATACATATTATACAAGTACGCATGCGAACGCACATAGATTTATGCATGTGCGTATGGATGTATGTATGTATGTATGTATGTATGTATGTATGTATGTATGTACGTATATATGTAAGTCTGTATTCTTTAGGAGCTCCGATCCTTAACAGAATCAGTCTTGACTCTTGCTGACTCTCAGGTCACTTTCTGCACGGACTGCGTCGGGCCGGAAACTGAGTCGAGCTGCATCAAGACTTCAACCCTCGGCAAACCCGTAAACACTGAACTCTCTGCACCCCGAAATTCCCCGAAACCGCGAAACCCCTAAAACCCCCTAAACCCGGGAGGCCGGAGGTGGAGGCTACGTGCGCTGACCCCGCGGCTGGCAGCGTGATCCTTCTTGAGCCACATGGACCTTTCATGTACGAGCTGTGCACCACAAACAGAATAATATTGAGAGCAGTAATAGTAGAATAGAGCGGGAGCAACAGGAGAGATAGAGAGCATAATAGCACAGTCAAGCCACAGCATTGACAGATGCACTGACGGTCAACAATACTAGATGAGTATCAAGGACAGCTTTGGCTTCTGGAGTTTGGAGTTTGGGAACTTAGAGCTCAGATGGGCGAGCACTCGGATGGAGGTTGTTCTAGCAGTGGAGTTCCGGACCGGACGCCGGGCTCATATGGTTGGAGTGGTTTTGGGAGTTTGGTGTTAGGGTGGGATTCCATGTCATCGATTTTTTCCCAGCTACCAAGGAGCCCTTGAGTGTTACCTCGGATTCGCGTCCCAAGCCAAGGAACCTGAGATTCCACGTGGAAGAGGAAGGCAAGGGAGTTGATCCCGAGGCCGGGATCGGAGTTGTGTGGGGGTGGGGGGGGGGGGGGGAGGGGCCTGGATAGTTGGGATCTGATTTTGGGGACACTTACCTTAAGGAGTTGGCCAAGAGATGAAGGCACCGCAATCGCAAGCTTCGGGCTTCATAGACTTCGGTCCGTACCCTCGAAGTGTGGTAGCGGCCTGGTAGGGTTTAGGGTTCAGGGTTTAGATGGCCCAAATATTGAATTCTTACCTGAAGTGGCAGGTCGCGCTCTTGACATAGTCCGAGCACAGCCTTCGGGGGCATCGTTGTTCTTGCAGCGCAGGAGCTGAGCTACGTGAAACTATAGGCATAAATAATTACCAATACTATTTTGGGGGGTTCCTTATTATAGTTATAGTATAATGGGCCCCAACACCCTATTCTAATTATTAAGGCCCCTATACAGTAAGTACCCATGCAACTCTCTGGCTACAGCTCGACGACGCAAGAACAGGTTAAGGTAGCCATTGTTTTACCTCCAGCTGTGCATGCAGAACTGGAAAAACGTGGCTTCCCTTGCAGGGCCCTCTGCTGACCCTAAATATGCACTTTGTTAAACCAAAAAGGGAAGTACAATGGAGACGACAGGTAAGGATACATTTCTTGGGCCCTGGCCTCAACTGCACGGGCCGCAAACCAGCAGTCTGCAAGCCTACGTAGTATAGGGCCTTAATCATGATACTACAAAGGACCCCAAAACCCTATTCTGATTATTAAGGCCCCTATGTTAGCCAAGTTTTCGCCGCAGGGCAACAAGATCAAAGCAGACAAGGAGAAGGTAGCAGCATTCCGGGCATCCATCAGGCGTGGTGCTCGGGTTGTTGTCCTCTCAAGATTAAAGCCTTAACCCCCAAACCCTAAACCCTAAACCCCAAACCCAAGGCACTTAAAAAAAAGCAAGGGTTGGGCTTCGGGGCACCGTACTTGCAGCTTGAATTACGCGTGGGTTGGGAAGACACCAGGAAGCATTGTCAGGACAGGCCAGTGACAGGCCGTTGTGAGTCGTGTGGGCGTGGATGGCACTTCTTGCAATTCTTGTTCACTGCAATCCGCGGCTGGGCTCACCATGTTGCATTATGATATCTAGCAGTCTTTTGTGACTAACAGTCATGGAAGTCTTATACTAAATTATAGTATGCTACTACGGATTATAGAATACTCTCGCAGTGGTGTTCGAAAGTACTACATTAGTTTGAGGTTGTTCCGAGTTGGCAGGGCTTCGCCCACGTACGCCGGCCTAGGTTCCACATACATGTGTCTCCTTCATCTCAAGGTTTCGACACAGCTAGGACCTGGCAGTTGCGAAATACACAAACCTCGGCGTGGAAGATGCACCCCAAGCAAACGGGCACGTGGGGCAGGAAACTTGCGGACATCTACTGCAACGATGCCTTCGGAACTGCGCACCGTGCTCACAGCTCCATGGTTGGAGAGGGTTTCGATGTGAAGTGCGCCGGCGATCTCATGGGCAAGGAGCTCGTCGAATTGTTTCAAAAGTTCTGCTTCGGCTAAGGCTTCTGTCGACATCAGAGATACTTGAGATGTTCCAGGAAGATCCAATAAGTGTAGTCTGCAAGGCCATGCTCTACGAGTCAGCCTTGGTCGCGAATGCATTGAGTACACGCTCCTAACTGCAGTGCAGCATCTGAGCATACCGGCGGACTGAGAGAAGCCATGGGCCTGAAGCCCTAAAATGCAGAGCCGTGGAAGCAGACCTGGCTTACTATAAGCCACCTGACCCGGAAAACCCACATAACATCGGGTGCCCACGAAAGCCCAAATCGAAAGCTGAAATATATGGAAAATCTCCCAAGCCCATAGCGCCGGCAGTGAACTAATAAATCCAGTAACCCGACACTCTACACTGTATGTTGGCCAACACCCATCAGGAGCTCGAGGCTTTCGCAAAGGTCTTGGACAACCCCGCCAAGCCCGTGTTGGCCATCCTCGGTGGTGCAAAGGCGGCATTTGCATGATGACAACGAAGCTTGCCGGCTGCGTGTGCCACGCTAGCGGCAAGCTGCTAGGCAGTACCAGTACCATTGGCGCTACCGCTCTACTACTTCTACGACTACTCCACCTCCTAGTAGTTGCATATGACTATACTAGTACTACTACTACGATTATTACGACTACTACGACTACTACGACTACTACTACTACTACGACTACTACTACTGCTACTACTACTACTACTACTACTACTACTACGATGACGACTACGACTACTACGACTA